CTCTCTCTCTCTCTCTCTCTCTCTCTCTCTCTCTCTCTCTCTCCGCAAGAGAATCGTCTAAATGCGGCCCGCTCGCTTCTCGATGCAATCCGAAAGTTCTCTCGGCGAGCTATCCAGATGCAGAACGAATTACGACGGCAGGAGTGGACGATGTTATAGCGAAATGTGAGTCACGCAAACAATCGCACGGTTAACCCGCGAGTAGGTGCGCTTCGGTCATTTCACCGCGCTTTTTCGTTCTCTAATTACACCTACTGTTTTGTAGTAACTTCACATGTACTTTCGCGTAAAATTTTGCCAGTCTTTCTTTGCACAGTGTAAAAAGATGGAACATGTATATTCCTGTACGAGCATACGAAACACGGCATGGATGTTTTTACACGAGAGAACATGTGATATACGTCGAAATTTTTATTTTATGAATTTTACTTGTGCATAAGTTTTAACGCGCGTGTAATTTTTGTTATTACATCACTAGTATATCTGACCAATAAATTAAATTCGCTTAGTAAATATCCCTGCAAAATGAAAGAGTAAAAAAAAGTATTAAATGCCCAATAACACTTTTCCTCTTTTGTTCTAAAGAGTTCCGAAACTCTTCTTTGTGTAAAAAATAATTTAAGTAAAATGTAATTAGACATCATTTTCATCAATGATGAAAAAAATTCAAAAAGAGAAGTAAAAAGAAATAGAAAAGCAAAAAAACGAAAAAAGATATTACTAATAAAATCTGTAATTAAAATCTTTTCGCTGATTATTATGACATTTTGTATTATTAGAGCGACAAATTAGAATTTTCTATTAATTGCTAATCTATATATACAAAATAGAATGTCTATCTGTTTATTGCCTGTACACCCCTGAACCCTTTGATCGATCTGGACCAAATTTTGCCTAGGACTCTGCGGAAAATATAGACTACATGAAACCTGGACACTTCAGCGCCTCCTCCTGATTTCATCCCCTTGACACTTTGTGGTAACCCGGCCGACGTCGGATAGTATCAGCTAGTTGTTACAGTACACGTTTGTGCTGATACGTAGTACGATTAAAGTGACCGGGACGCACCTACTGAGATTAGTCAAATTCACGCGTCTACTGCCGGATAAAAAATCCATGATCGCGAATTTTGGGATTGAACGAACAGCCGCGCGAGTTTCGGGGCGGTTCTTCGGCGCGATTTCGCGCGCGCGCGCAACTGTGCTACGTTTGTTCCGCTCGCGTTTGTGAATTCGAGGCGAGTGTGGAGCAGGGTGCGTGATCGATCGACGTAGACAGTATATCAAACGTGCATCCATCCATCCAACCTGACTACTATAACACAGAGTCTCGAAGGGGGACAAGAATATCCTATTTCCGGGTATTTTATCGACGGCTGTTCTCTATGCTTTGCGAATCACTGCAGATCGTGTTTTGAACCGTATCATTCGTTTGTCGAATATATCCCCAGCGTACACGCATGCACGCACGCACGCACGCACATATGCTTTTGCCCGCGCGCCCACCTACGCGCGCGCGCACACACACACACACATACACATACGCGCGTATACATACACGCACCGCGCTCGCACATCCTTCCTAAATTTGCATTTTTATCGTGCACACGCGTATACACGTAGCATTTGGCAAAGGGACGGCCCCGTTGTTTTTCTCGCATACGAGAAAATCGTTTGTGGACTTGGCGGTATTTCTGGTGGGATCTACTGCAGTCGCGATATACGCTTCGCGTCGGGGGTATATATCGTGTAAGAATAACACGCGATCGGACGCGAAATATGCGAAAACGTCCGCCCGTTGTATACATTATTTGGAAAAAAAAAAGAGAAACAAAAATGCGCGAAGACCAGCGTTACAATATTTCTTTCTCTCCCTCCCTTCTTCCCTGCCTGCCTGACTGCCTCTCTCAAACGTTGTTCGTTGTGTTTGCGAGACACACGGCGTTCGCTCTCGATATCACGCGGAGCAAATTAATCTTAAACCACATCTTACTAAACGTTATTATTTATCGGAATGATTTATGACTCACCGAACGGTTGACACAGCGCGATGCGGGATTCACGGGACCGTCGCAATGACGTGCGGTTAATGCAGCGTGACACTGGGTCGAGGGACGTCGCAATTTCTCGTATCCGTCGACACTGCAATTCGAATTGCGCAAAAAGGAGTCATTTGAAAGAATTGAAGGAACATTATCAGGTTTCTTCAGAAATAATATAATTTATCGTAATTGACTGATTATATACGTGGGAGAGAAAGAGAGAGAGAGAGAGAGAGAGAGAGAGAGAGAGAGAGAGAGAGAGAGAGCGTGAAGTAGAGTAACTGCATGCTTCGTACTAAGACGTGAGATGAAAAATTAGATTTTTAATATAAATGATGATCTCTCGCTCTCCCTCGTTGGCCTCTTTCTTTCTCTCTCCCTCGCCTTTTCTACGCCATCAAATTTTCGTCACGATAAAGTTAACTCCAAGTTTCCCGAGTAGCAACGTGAGAAAAGTTCTCCGTCGGTGTCTACCGCGCTCAACTTCTTGCAGATGATCCTGCCAAAGAGAGTTCAAACAAGCTGCCCGAGATCAAGTATGAAAAAAACGCACGCATGTCGAGGTGACGAATCGTATTAACACGCGGTGGCCCGCCATATGCAAAAAGAGATAATCCACAAGTCGTCAATCGGTTTTCTCTCTCTCGCACACACACTCACACACACACACACACACACACATATACACACAAAGCCGCTTTTATCCACAGTAGGGATATGAAAATGCACGCATTAGAGCCGCCAACGTGCCACAATTTCGTGGGGGCGAATCACCCTCTACGGTCAATAGTTTTAACACGCGGAAAAATGTTAGGCCGCTTAAAACTGATGCGTATACGTGTGCGCGCACACGCACGTACACACGTATACATGGCGGGACGCGCGCGCGTATCCTCGCGGCTCATCCGCGGCAATAATCCTCACACGTACACGCGCGCAACGATGGATATTTACTTCGAATCGAGTAGACACGCGCGCGCAGGATGCGACCGGCTATTTAATATCTGCTAAAATTATAACGTTCAACATCGACGCGAAGCCGAGTGCCCGTGTAATCGAATCTCCCGTGTATATAAATATATAATCGCGCCGGTGAACACACACACACACACACACACACGTGCGCGCGCGCCGCAGCTCACTCGTCCGCACGCGCGCACGCGCATGTGTTCGCAATTCATGCGTCCACCCGATATTTCCGTATCGGCGGCAATTTACTGACGTACACGTGTCTGAAATTCGGTGATTGCACGTCGAACTGAATTTTCATCCCCCAAGCCCAAGGTTTAACCGCCGGCCATCCGCCCGCCCGTCCGTCCGTCCGATCCGGGCTGGTCGGCTCCGGTCCGGCTTGGTCCGGTTCAGCTCGCTCTCCCCCGATATGCAATAATGAAGTGGGTATGTAATTATGCAATGTAATACCCCAGGATTGTGCCTAATTCGCGCTCGCGGCACCGCGGCCCGTATTATTCGGCATCGACGACGAAATAATTTCAACAAATCCGGACACGCTCCGGCGATCCGCGAATTTCCGCAGGGGGAAGGAAGGGAGAGAGGGAGGAAGGAAGGAAGGATGGGTCGCGCAGCCATGAGGGGGCGCGCAAGGAAGGGCGAATTGTTTCCGATCGCGTGAGGCCTCGGCGTTCGCGATTTTTTGACGGCTGACAGACGGCTCCATGATACGGTCTCGTGCCCGCGCGCGAGACAAAGACGCGTTTTATATCGCGCAACGAGTGCGGAAAATAAAGAGGGTTGCGGAGGAGGAGGGGGAGGAGGAGAGATAGAAGGAGGTACGAGGGGAAACGAGCGGTAATTTTACATCTGACGGCGGCTTTAAAGTTGTCTGATATGAAACCACTTCGATAGGTGAAACGCTCATGGGATCGCCGTCCGCCAGACATCGTTGGCCCGAGGGTCATCCCAGGCGACTTCGCTTTCCATCCGGATACGGGAAACCATGTCGGAAATACCGTCCAGACATTCTTCATCGCGTGGAAAATCAAGCTCTCCCTCCAGCTCTCGGATCGCGCACTTCCGGGCATTTCGATGAGGTCATATTGGAGTTTTGGGCTTACGCCACTTGGGCTTTACGTCATGTTCCAATCATGTCCGTCGTGACGGAGACGTCCGGCGATCGATCCGATCGTTTCTCGCCCTCGTGACGCATCGCGCATCAACGCTCGGTATCGTTTTGAACAAGAGGCGGAGTGACGTTACCTCGCGCACGATCAACTGCGCCCGGCCGTATGTCACTTGACGTGCAACAGCCGTGCGACCTCCGACTAAATTCGTCCCCGCGACTTATGCGCTTCAAAAGTGAAATTAATCTCGAAAGTGCTCGGCGAGCCAAAGTTTCCGCGAGCTTCTTCCAAGAGAATGAGCTCCCGTAGCTGCGCCTGTGCACTTTTCCGACACGGACATATTAAGTAGCAGTTCGAGGGCCATCGCTAACCGCCCAGCACACAAGACTGCAGGACCACCATCGATCGATACAATTCGCGCGCCCAGCGGGCGTGCGAGCGAGCGACGCACTACGAGACTTGGGCTTAGAGGAGGGCACGAGGATAATGATACTGCAACGAAGGCGTGCAAGGAAATCCAGAGAGTTAATTAGGAAGTACCACCGTATCAGTCGGCGCGGTCGACCCGCTCCTTCAGAGGTGGAGGACGAGCCGGAGCACGAGCAAAAGGAGCAGGAGAAGGAGACCTGATGCAAGATGCACGAAGCGGGTCGAGGACCGAGGAGGTTGCCGCCTTATGTACAAGGATCTTAATGTACACATTCGCGCGCATCTTAAAGACGGAAGTTAGTTATCCGCGCTGACTTTCGGCGTTTGCAAACGCGCTACTCGACGCCGTGTGATCCGCGCAGCTCGCGCTTTACACCGGGATAATTCGCAGGGTACATCTTTTCCCGCGGCGCAGCGTAATGCAAGGAAGCACGCGCGCGCGGCGATACCCTATGAGTTACTCGCTTTACACGGTTATGAATTTGACTTGGACGCTTATAAATTTGGTTACACGCTCGTTTCGCGAGCGTAACGGCGCGCCACTTTCGTCGTAGTACGTCGTAAGTTATCACGATCACGCCAAAGACGACGGAGGAAGGAAGAAAGGTATACGATATCTGAGACGTACGAATATTATTCGTTTCTGCGTTATCGCTGTTGCGATTTCACGAGGACGAGATCTCGTTAAAAGAAAAAAAAAGAAAAGAGATACTAAGAAAAATAAATATCACCTGACAATTGCGACTTATTTTTACACATATATACACACAAAAGTAAGACTCAGTCCTCCCCGTTTGCGATTGTGACGTCGTTATTGCTCCTGCACTACTTAGAAACGGTTTAGCATCTTCCTCGTTAGACGGGAACTGTTTTGTAAAATGGAACACTCGCTCGCTATTGCATCTTCTCCCTTTTAGCTTGCCGATCCTTTATACGCGAGCTGCACGGTTACCTGAACGCAAATTTTCCGCTGAATGCGAGCAACACCTAACGAGTGAGCGCGCCGTACTTTTATTTCCGCGATGCCGCGCCACGTCGTATATCAATTTCCAGCAAAAGCACTCGAAACAGATTTTCACTTAATGGCACACGCCGGCGCTCGCAGTGGCCCGTTAAGGTGTTGAACGGCACGCAACCCCTCGCGACTATTATGCCGAAGTACGCGCAGTTACAAAACTCTCTTTTAACTGTCGCGCAGCGAAGTGTCGTAACGCGGGCCCGAAGCACCGTGTTTACGTTCTCTAAATGAGAGAAAATATACGCCCGACGTTGTGCAAAGACCGGGAAGGGAATCGGAAAACTGGCCTCCACTTCCGACGCCTTTGAATAATTCTGTTATCAACTTATTATTCGATCCACGTCGCATCGCTGCAACTTAAGAGCGCGGCGCGACGCGACGCGACGCGACGCGACGCGAGGCGAGACGAGGCGAGACGTGACGTTTGTTTTTCATGTCGCTTGTTAACAAATTTAGAAGAGAGAAAGGCCCAAATATGAACCTACTTATATCTTAAAGCATTTTTGTTGTACTTGTAGAGACAAGTACAACAAAAATGCATAAGAAATAAAATTGAATACAAGATATAGTTAAATAATTTTAACAAAATCGGCATAGCTGAGACATAAACCATTCTAAATTTCTATAGTCGAGATTCCAACAGAAATATTTCAAATCTGTGCTAAATTAGTAAAAAATGGTTCGAATCTCGGCCAAACCGAGAAATTGTTTGTATAAATAATTTTTTTTAACTTTTTTATGTTTTGTTTAAATATTTTATTATTTATACAAATAATTTTACACATTTGACTTCATATTTAAAATCAGTCTAATATTCAAAAATGCCTATATCTTGTATTCAATTTTATTTCTTATGAATTTTTGTTGCACTTGTTGATAATAAGAGTGAGAACATTAAAAAGCTATAAACTGCCCGTAAAAAGTGGGTCAAAATAAAAAAATATGACCTAAATATTTTTTGTACTTCTGCATTTGTGCCAAATTAGAAAGAAATCGGAGTGTAACTTTTGGGTAGGTTTACTTGTCAGTAAAGTACAATACATATCATATAAGGTCATATATATCCAAACACTGTACTAAACCTAAACTGTATTTGGACCGTAGCCCATACCTGGATCTCCTTGTCCAAGAGTGGTATGAACGTTTTAGATTTTTGATACGAGTTTCTTACGTTTTATGAGACCATAAAAGAGACCTAGATGCAATGAAGTAAACGAATTTTCCGCTGAATACATTTCCGCGAATGATTCCTCGAAACGAGAGACGGACGGGGCGGAAATACAACTCGCGCCGCTGTTTCCTCGCGACACGGTAACTCGTTTAACGGTTACGCATCCGAATCCGCGTGTTTGACGAATCGCGCGCGCGCGCGCGGGGGATTCAATATTATGATTTAACAACCGGCAAGAAATGTCGGTCGCGCGCATCCGAGTGTCTCTTTGGCGGAAAATCGCGTCGCTGCGCCCAGCCGGCAAACTCCAGTTTTAATTTCACTTTGCCAGGGATAGAGGCTGGATAGTATCGACGAGGAAAAAAAAAGAAATGAGCAGTCGCTCGTTTACCAACCCGCATATACGTACCGCCGACGATGGGTATACACGGATCTATTATTCATGCATGAATTTGAAACGCACGTTACACCAAATTGGTGCCCTAAAGGGCTAACGTGGCGTACTGAATATTACAGGCCGTTTTTAACATGAAAATCAATTCCGCGTATCAGATTCATACATAATAGATGTAAAGGAGTTGTTTCACGGAAAAAAACCTATTTCACCGGCAAGTTTATGCTGGAAAGCCGGGCGCGGTAGTGCGGTCCGATGAAAGGATCAAAAGGCCACCCACCTCCCCGATAGCTATCGGACGTATTAGCGTGTCATTATATTACGTACAAAGGCAGGATAAACACAACTATTACCTCACAGTAATGTCGTTTTATTGCGCCATATAATGGATACCCGAAATAGGTACGCCTCGCTGACGAGTAAGTTTCTGCAGCTCTGTGATACTTTACGACAGAGAAAGAAAGAGAAAGAGAGATAGCCAGACAGACAGACGGAGAGAGAGAGAGAGAGAGAGAGAGAGAGAGAGAGAGAGAGTCTATAAGGTCCTAGAGGTAAGTTGCTCATGTGTTTTATTTATCTCGAGAGAAACAATGGGTATAAAATCGTGAAATGGCCCTCTTAAGATATACTTTCTCTTGAGTTTCATTAAAATCGGAATGATATAAAATTAAAAAATAGAAACTGATTTTATTGTAGCAAAGTAAATTTTTGAGTCTTTCGAAATTTTGTATTAATATTCTTTATCATAAGTCAATAAAATAAAGTGATGTGTTATACTAGCTAGAATAAAGTTCCTTGCAAATGCACGAAACACTCTGTTTCAGATAACAAAAGCAATTTTCATTCATAAAATGATTTAAATCGAGCATACAGACAGACGAGATAAAGTTGGTCCATATTTAAGTGTCGGTATGAAGTTGTGGAGACCTCTCGCAGAGATCTCGGAACTACTACAGGACACATATTTGATATGTGACCATCTTATCCTGCGCTACTGAACAACTAAACCCGGTACTAAATAGCCGCATGTTGCTGCACCGTTGCTGCATGTTTATATTTTTGTTATTATGAAACAAAATATATAGTTACAGAATATTAAGACAGAAGAAGCCTGCTTTATATCTGTATAGTTAGACAACAGTTACTTGTTTGAAAAGTAACTTCGAAACTCGGAAATATGGGGCATCTAGCCCCAGTCTGCCCTAGAAATAGAGAGATAGAGGCAGAGGCAGAGAGAGAGAGAGAGAGAGAGAGAGAAAGGCTCGATTCCTACAGCAGCGGAAACGTCGCGTTATCGCGCGATCTTAACATAACGGGGATCTCTTCCGCGTAAAAGCCGGCGTTCGAATGTTTCGCTTCCTGCATTCGATGCTACCTGGAAAAGGGGGTCTCGCGCGGACTGCCGTAGTACCGGAAAATTTTACCGCGCATGAAATTACCACGGTAAGCGACACCGACAATCGTCGCAAAACGCCCAGGCGTTTCCGCGCGCAATCCCGCCGCGCGCGAGTTACGGCGAAAAATCGAAATTTATCGCGGCAACGAAGCACCGTGAAACGCTGCTTGCGCTATCGCGATACACATAAAGCGCGGAGACGTAATCGCGATTGTGTCCTTCCGCTTCTATATTCCGGCCACTCTTCGACAAATGAGCTCTTACGCGGGTATTGTGTGCACACGATGCAACACCCGTACGACGGGCGACGCAAACACAAAGCTGACACTCGCGAGCTCGCAGCTCTCTTATCCCTTCTTTTCTCGCAGAAGCATTATATCGCGCAACGATATCTCGTTAGCATGAGTTATTATTTAATCGCAATTAGCCTCTCTCTCTCTCTCTCTCTCTCTCTCTCTCTCTCTCTCTCTCTCTCTCTCTCTCTCTCCTTAGCCTGCTGAAACGTCAGCCTTCCGTGAGCACGCCATTTATAATTTTACGAAGTGCGGGGAACTTGATAAAAAAGGAGGGACAGAAACGTAGAGCGAAAATTCTTGCGCTGCGCGTTCGCACAATAATCAGATTTCGAGGATTTAAACGATTTTGACACGGGATGGTATGGGAAAAAGTTTCAATCCGCCGCTCTCCGCAATTAAGCGTAGACGTCCGCTGTCAGATACACTCACGTCGCTCGCGGTACTCTAAAACTCCGGGATTCGTAAATCAACATGCGCGGTATTCGCGAGGAGAGTCGAGTTCGTCGTCGTTGTCGTCGTCGTCGTTGTCGTGTGCGAAAGTCTCGGACCCCATCCGCGGGGAATTTCAATTTGAAAGAATATCGATCGCGCGCACGTCGGGAAAAGAGAAATAACGTAATCAGATGACGAGCCTAATGGAGAGACAAGATACTCCTGTCGGCCGGCCGAACGACCGTATTGATGACACAGAATCGCAACGGACTCAGAACTCATTACCGTTCGCGGTTAACAATTATCGAATATCGGAAATCCCGTATTTACACCTACATATAAACGCGTAGCGTGCGAGGGATGCGCTCGCGCAAGAGAAAAGGAAAGAGAGAATGAGAGAGAGACAAAAAGATAAAGAGAGAGAGAGAGAGAGAGAGAAATAGTTAATC